CAGCCCCGGGCCCCTCCCCGGGGCCTCCCCCCGCTGCCGTACAGCGGCCGGGCACCGCGTCCCCACAAGAGTGACAGGCCGAGAGCCTCCTGGCACACAGCTCCCAGAAGACAGCAGCTGCCTCAGAGCAGGTACAACCCCAGTAAAACCAGCCCTTTATATTACAGAAAAAAACGGTGAGGACCAAATGCAGAGAACCCAGGAGGACCGCGAGTTTCCAGCATGATGCTCAGAAAGCTACGAACCACGGCAAGGCTGGATGACCCCATTTCCCGCTTTGCAGTCTGGGTGACCCAGCAAGGTCTCCTGGTCTTAAACAGCGATGAGAACTTTTTTTTTTTTTTAAATCTGTAGAGGAGGAAGTAGGGAATGGCTGAACTGCATCCATCAGTTTGCCATAAATGTTAGCAGTAGGAGATGGGAATGAAGACAACTGCAAACCTGCTCCAAAGATACCAGAAATCGTACTTATTTCTAAATAAACTTATCGAAAACAAAGGACGGGGCAAGGTAGGGATCAAAACGAGACACCAGGCCCCCACTGCCCCTTTCTCCTGCACGCCCTGGGACAGCAAGCCTTCCATGAGGTACCTCCCCCACAAAACAGTACAGGGCAGCAGGAACCAGACACGAGTCCTACCAACATCTCGTAGCACATTGCACAAATGAAATCGCTGGATCAAGCACAAGCTAATCCACCGAGGGCAAGCAGCAGGAGCATCTAATTGAGGCCGTTTGCAAGGGGAAACCAGCTTCAGGAGGAGTTTGTTACATACCCCACAGGGAGCAGCTGATTTCATCTTCAACTTGGAAACAAAAGTTTGTTTGCTGCTCTCCCCAGGAAGAGGACAAAGGAAAGTTCTCTGCCATGTGCTGACCTCTGTAAAACATCTGAAAAGAGCACATGTGTCATTAAATCCAAGATACACTTTTGACACGCAGCCCTCCTGAGACCAGTGGCTGCTCCATTCGCTCCCTCTGGCTTTGCCCCGGGCTGCGCAACTACTGCTCTGCCAGCATAATTACACCCCAGAGCGGGAGACGGAGGGGCGTCACTACTTGCCCTGAACAACCTCAGCACGGAGATGACTACCGGCCCAGGCTAATCACTTCAGTTTGCGTCACCCTTCACTCTCCCAAGACATCAGCGCAGGAGAACTGGGGAAGCGACCAGAAACCAAGACACATAGCAAAAGCAGAGCAGTAAGGCTGATAGATCAGGAGGGCAGGCGAGTCAGTTCAGGAATATCACATCCATCTTCTCCAAGGGGACGGGAGCAGGTGTGGGGCTCCAGCACTGCAGGACTCTGAACAGCCCTTCAGGCTCCCGTGGGCTCCCAGAAAAGGGCTGGTAACTCTGCAGTGCTGGGTGCAACGGCTCCCTAGGGCGGCAAAATGAGCTGTTGCAGCTGCAGGCTGTATTTTATCTGGGTGCACGTAGTTACAGCAACTCTTGGAGTGGGAAGGAACGAGCGGAGAGTCCTTGTACCTATCCTGCTTCTAACCCCGAAAGGCCAAGTCACCAGGCAGAGAGGAGAAGAACATGGTCCTGAGACGCGTACAAGACTGGCAATGAAGCGTTTTAGGGAATCAGACATAAACAATTTAGCAACAAGCTACAGACAAACACTTTTAACCAGTTTGGAAATAAAAAATAACAACAACTTGAACGACAAATTGAAAAATTCTGCCTGGAAAAAGAGCACACAGCATGAGATCACAGGATTCAGCAGACTATAAAATAGGAAATGTGCCCTACTCTTCTCCCCCTACAGCTACACAAAACCCTCCTACATAGGTTACAGACACGCTTGGCAATTGCCTTCCTCCTCCAGCCTCTTCTGTTGTAGACAAGGCAGAGTTGGTAGAAGCCTGAACGCAAAGAGGATATTAGATAAAGCATCTTGCAAAGCCAAGTGTGAAATATTAACAACAGGAGGCAATGGGTTGTGTTTTTATGCAAGATCACATTTGATGCTTAGAGAGCCTGAGATGTTCTTGCACACCAGAATCTCGAAGTCCTTGTTGAATGTTTCATTTAAAAAGCTGCTGAAGCCTACTGGAAAATTTCTATCAGTTCTGTTATTTGCTGTATCTGCTCTAACTTCGTTGGTTTTGTTCTTTTTCCTTTCTGCAACACTAAGAAATTATGCATGAATAAAAAGGTTCTTCCTTCCATTCATCTGGCCAGTTTTAAAACAATTCATACTCTTACAGTGGGCGCTCTGCAAGCCTGTATTTTCACATGAAATTACCACAATTGTGCACATTGCATCCCAATTACCGGACGCATTTGTACACACAATTACCCAATTTACACACAGAACTGCAATGAGAGGGCAGGCAAAACGGACATGCAGCTGTTCAGCTGAACGGAGCACTGCGCCCGAACGGCAGCTGGCATGGGGCAGGTTGGGTTTTAGCAGGTGAAACAGGTCACAGATAGTCCTGGGCACAAACGAGCTCCTGTTTATCCAACACATGCAGCACCGACAGCAGCGTGGCTGGCTGCCCCTGCCCTACCTCAAACTTGCCTTTGGAGGAAACTGCCTCCAATTCAGCTTCTACAATAGATGCAGACCTTGTTTTCCCACTGTCCTAGTTGCCCATTACTGCCAACTGTGTGAGGAGAACAGCTATTCAACACTGGACACCAGGCTCCAGGAATAATGATCTCTGCCACTTTGGAGGGTAACTGACACCTGCTGTCAATCTTGCATGAAAAAAAAAAATCACACTCCAAATATCCAACAAGCAGCCAAGGAGAAACGCAAGGAGAGGGAGCCTAAGAGAAGATGCAGGGCCTCTTCCTTCTTTGCAAGAGCCTCGGCAGTACAGGAGCAGCGAGGATGAGGGGAGAGAAAACACTCACTCGAGAAGCTGTGTTACCTGTACGTTCTTCACTCGGATGGCAGCTGAGGCTCTGCAAACTGAACTTCATCTTTGGCAATTTCCTATCGACATCTCTGCTCATCGCATTTTTCCCCAGGCTCAGATACCTGAGCTGACGATTAGGGCAACAGCAGCAACAAACCTGCTCCTGGGCACTAAGAAACACCAAAAGCAAAGGACTGCCTGAAAGGCAGATGGGACCACAATCCCCACGGACACGATCACCAAGAAGTTTGTAGACATTCATCACAGAGTAAGCTAAAATGAAACCCAGCATGGCAGGACAGAGGAGTTTCCCACTCCAAGGCTACACGATGAACTGATGTCTGTCCTCGGAGCCTACCAGAGACTGGGAGTTAGGCAAGCTGGTTACTGAAGTGCGATGACATGCAAGAGGTATATTTTCAGCTAATAATCAAGCAGTCCCTCGCCTGGAGGTACTGGATGGCCTTAGAGTGCCACTTTGTCCTTGCTGGGCTGCAAAACAGCCGCAATGCACCTGGACAACATTAGCTGGAGATGTTACATTTATGATTTTATGGCTGATTTTTTCCCCCTACCCTCTATCAATTGAGTTCACTGTCTGAACGATCACATCTGTTTATGTTCCACAGACACCTGCGTATCTTGAGATGACAGCAACTCCCTGAATGCTGTAATCAGTTATTTCTCAACAGAGGAATTGCCAATTTGGTAAATAAAGCTCATTATAAAAGAACATAGAAACATATTACAGTTGCCTAACAGAGAAAATTGTCCAGTGCTGTCAGATAATCAGCCCTGGCATCATAGTCCCCCCCAATTTAGGGCAGCTGAAATAATGGCATGCAAATTACTCATGCCAAGGCAACATTAGATAGGGGCAAGAGGAAAATGCAGGAGAGACAAAATTGGTACTTTTCAGGCCAGCAATAATTTAAAATCTAGTCAGGGATATACCTTGGTGCTCCAGATTTCCGCATCCAGAACCATAAGTTTGGTGGCTCTGTAGAACCCGACTATCCCAAGCAGATCCAAAAGCCAGCATGGCAGCAGTAGCAAAAGCCCACCCCGTACTGCTACGAACAGATCTGAGGGCACCAAGTGTCCTACTTTGGTTTGGCAAACTTGCCCTTCCTTGGGTACATCAAGTTTGACCTCACAGTGATAAAAAGCTGGAATTTTTTGCAAGATCTGAGACTAACAGAGGTGAGCCACGGGTAAGCAAACATCGCTTTTGAGGAAGAGGGTTGTGGTTTCAGCACTCCACGAGAAGGAAACGCATTTCATTGCTTTAATGAAGACATAAAGCACTAAGTTGCTGCCTAGAGGAAAAAGAGACGAAGCAGAATATAACACCGAAAACAATTCTCAGCCCCCCTCATCCATTTTCATAAACACTACATTAAGCTCTGACATGACCTCCAAAAATTCATGTTCACATTCTTCAGAAACTGTCAGATACAGTCAGAGAAGACACAAGCAGTGAACGCTGCCAGAGAAGCTTTAGCCAGAGAAGGGGAGTCAAGTTACCAAGCTCGACCTGCTCCCCCGGTTTGCTGACAGGTCCTTCACAAATCTGAGGCACCTGCCTCAACAAGGATGAAATGGCAGAGGCACACAGCTCTCACCGTCCCTCAGCTCGGCAAGGAAAGGGCTCAAAACAGAGCACAAGGCTGAAAGGGGTGCTGGCTTACGGCAGACAGAGCAGGAACTGCACAGAAGAGCTGGTGCAGAGAAAGATAACTTGGGCTCTGCATTCAACAGGCAAAGGTTTTTTCAGTGTGATTCACCAATACCAGTTCCTTTCAGCCAGGGCTCTGCACTCTTCCAAGTGCTTTCAAATAAGCCAAAGTCATTCAGCCCGGGACCAAAATGAACAAGTTTTGTGATTTATAAACTGTGACTTGAAATCTTTCTACTCACCATACTTGTTGGGAGTTTTTGTTGGCATGGGTAGGAGGCAGAAAACAGCAATTTACAAACTTGTGGGACTGAAAGTATCTCACAGCACACAGTGACCATTAAACACTTTATTGTTTAGAAGGGATCCTTGGAAGGGAAGAAACACGCCTGCTGGTGTAACCGATGGGAGCACGTCAGGAACAGTTAATCCTAACAAGCTAGTCAGGGTTACTTCCAGGTACCTCAGACCCCTTTCTCCAGAGCAAAGGGACGAAGAGAACAGCTCTTGAAATGCAAATATGGTTGGTGAAACCAAAGCTAGTGCAGGGTGAAGAAGGCTTGTGTTGGGCAAGCCTCCAAGCTACAAGCTGTGCTGGAAGCACTTGGGGTCAATATGATTCTTTACACTGTAATACAGTAAAAAAAGGAAATGATAGCGTCCCCCTCTCCCGGGACCCTCCTCCCAGCTCCAGAAACATCCACTGAGACTGATACATGCAGACAATTAGGAGAGGAATCATGTCGTCGTGTTGGACCGCGAAGGGCAGAAGGCACCGGATTTGGTCAGTGTCTGTCCAGAAGGATGCTGGGGATTCCAAGGGCATCTGTGGTCCCTGTCCTCTGCTCTTTGGCGCCTGATGTTTATGCAGAATTAACTAACAGCTCCTGGAGGAAAAAGGAGACAAAGGAAAAGGCAGCAAGTTAGTTGTGCAGCTCTCGACTGTTTCCTTCAGAAATGAAGGAGTAATGTTGGCAGAGTGAAAATCCCACAGAAAAGTCACCAGGTTTCACCTGCTGTAAAAATACAAGACACTCCAGAGGACTGAGGACGGTAGAAGCAAGACAGCAAGTCCTGATGTCAAAGGTGAGACTGATTCTGTGAACAAGAATATACGGTCAGTTGCAAATGATTAGGGTTTGTAAACCCGATGGCAGGAGAGAAAGGCCATGGTCTCAGGTAAGCCTCAGAGTGGCTGGGTGGCAGGAGTAGGTGTAGCTCCATGCTAAGTCCCAGCAGGACACAGGAGCACTTCGATTAGCTGCCATCAAACATGCATACACCACCCACTCATCCTGGAACAGCATCAAGAGTGAGCACTAGAGAGGGGAGAGGAAGAAAGAGAGGGACTCAGAGGCTGCCCTAACTCCGGACATGTTTGACAGCCTTTCTCCTATTAAGACCCAAACTCTCCTCCTAAAATTCAAAGCAAAATTGTGCCTGCTTTATCCCCGCAGCAACCTCCTGTTTTCCAAATGCTACATCCTCAGATCCTGCAGGTATGAGCTGGGGACTTTTGAGTGGCAGAAAAAACAGGAGGCTTTCGGCCTTTTTAGGATGTAGAGTGCAGAGCCAGCTATGGTCTCTTCCTATTTTTATCTTATCAATCCTATAAAGTCAAAGAAATCAAACCAACAATGTCACCCACAGTGGATGAGAACGCACCTGGCACCAGCTGTAACACCTCTCCCTCCGGGGATCTGAGGTATCGACGCTGGACCCTACCTCAAAACCTAGGCAATCAGCTCTCCTGCATCAGCAATGGCATCTTTGTACCAACAGACTGCTGGCGTAGCTACGTGAACAGCAGACTCGTGTAGG